GAGACTGAACTACAGTTTGGTTAATGTATCATTTGATATACAGAGTTTGTCGCAAAGGTCAAATCAAAGTGAAATTCTAACTAAAACCATGAAAGATTTAAAAAAAGATTTACTAAATATAACTAACGAAATGTTTAAAAATAGCACAGCTATATTGGAACAACGTCTAAATCTAAGATTTCAACAACTGGGTGAAAGCAACAAATTACTGGCAGAGACACACTCAAAGACAATGAAGGATTTTAAAACAGCTGTATCACTACTAAATAATACTGCCATCGATATACACGCCAGTATGGAAGAGATGAACAGCACCATTCAAAACCTGTTTACTAAATCTGATCAAATTGGTGTCCAAGTCAAAAGATTACATGGAATTATTGGCCCTGTGCTCAAGGGTGAACACGTAAGTTTTATATAATTTGTTTATCATCTTACTCTGCTTACTCCCAATTTGGCATTTTTCAGTTCAGCCATTACATATGACAATGCTCCCAAGAAGTTTAAATTTAAAGTTTTTCACGCAGGCATGGCATGTTTTCGAATTAGAATTTGTTTATCATATTACTTCGCTTACTCCCAATTTGGCATTTTCCAGTATTTTACGCAGGAATGGCATGTTTTCGAATTAGACTTACATCAATACAATGCTTAGTTGCGTCAAATGTAAAAATAACTAAAATGTTTGTTATTAAATTTATTTATTTTTTATGTATTCAGATAATATTCTGACAAATGTTAGCTGGTGATTTTTAAAAAAAGAAGATTGCAAAATCAATAACTGTTTATAAAACTTGGATTTAGTAGAATGTCTTTAAAATACGTAACATCACCACTTTTCACTAAAGCTGAAGCTGTGCCAGGAGCGCACATTTTTATAAAGTAGTTCAAATGTCTCGACAATGTTTAGTAAAATAAACGAGATATTAAATTGAGTCTCTTTGGCAAACATTTTTAACACGTACTTACATATATTCTGTGAAAATTTGTATACTTATTCATGCATAAACACGCAAAACATATCTATATGTATATATGTATACTCATATGCATGTGTATGTATATATTCTTCGTGGTTGTGTAGGTATCTAGTGCTTTGCTAGGTAATAATATACAGTAGATAATACAATATTATTATTTATAAAGAAAAGTAGTGAAAACTGTTTGAATAAATACATTTGTTTTCAATTAATTTCGTTTCAACTAATAATAAATACAAATATGCAACTTTTTCTCCAGTTAAAATGTACCAAAATGAACGATCTTATTTTAGTGGACATGACGTTTACTGGAGTAGATGTTAACAGAACATTGTGTGATACCAAGACTGACGGTGGAGGATGGATTATTATACAGGTTTTGTTTTGTTTTTTTTGTCATTTAAAACATTCTTAGACATGTACCAATTTAGCTTTTTTCCTACATTTTTTTCTAACAGTTTTGTTGTATTTATACAATTGTAAACACATGATAGACAACGATAATGTTGAGAGTAAATTAATTTTGAAGATTGTTCTCGGATAAAAATATGTTTGTGTTGTATGTATACAATTTGGGATTTACTTATAAATCAAATCAACTCACGTATGTTTACCACTGCCGTTATTTTATACATAAACTTTTTTTATTTCTTAAATATTTTGATTTATATTAACATAATTATTCTTTGGAATCAATCAAATCAAATTGCTTAAAACTATATTTTAGCATTGTCGTTACTTGTTACAGAGACGTATCAAAGGTGATGTGAACTTTACAAGAACTTGGAACGATTATAAAAACGGCTTTGGCTCAACTTCTGGAGACTTTTGGATCGGAAATGATGTAATTTCCAGCTTGACATCTTTGGTAAGAAAAGAATGGAAGTTTGAAATCAATGCATAGAAACTGAATTTTGAACTTAAACATTACGCAGGTACACAGAATAATGTGTTTTATGGGACTATTAATTTGATTGTACCATACACACACTGCTCAATGTAATTGCTATCACTTAATTTGTAATTGTAAAACCCAAACCAATTTATTCAGTAAATGTGTACACAAGCTTGATAGTTTAGGTTATATGATGACTGTTTCACAAAACATAAGGGCGGTTCAACATCAATTTCTCAGTTTGATCATAGTTTCTTCTACGTCATTTTTAAGATAAATTTATACAATGGTTAGCGATAGGTAATGGGTAGGGTTATGAATAGAAGATAGATAGAAATGGTAATATGTTAAAATTTGAAGGAGAGGACATGAATTAAAGAACTAGGGCAATACATTTAGAGGAGAGGGTATTATTGAATAGCAGTGATTAACTGATTAGGAATGTGAAGGATAGTGTACTACAATTGGCATTCATACGTTCGTTTAATCTAGATAATTTCTCATAAGAAAATATATTGATGTGTTACTATCAGTGGGGGGGGGGGGACTAGAAAAAAAAGGCTCACACGGAACTTTTTTTTAGCCAGTTTCAATCAATTTTGAATTATCTATTTCCTGAGAAAAGTAATCAATTTCATTGCGATGTATAACCACCATAAGATAAAAAAAAACAGACAATATTATGTCCATACTTATTTCAGGTCAGAAGTAATCTTGTTTTATAATTTTGAAGCAAATACAGTAACTTCACACATCATTTGGGTGGATATTTAAAAGGTAGTTAAAAGCGCTGTAAAGAGTTTAATAAATAAATAGATAAATAAGTTAATAAACATATAAAATGCATTGGGCGTAAAACATGTTGGTTCAAAAAGGCTGGTATAGAACATTTTACCAATACACGAGGGTGAAAAGTTATAACAAATTGTGGAATAGTCGAAAACAAAATTGGTTTATGTGGATTTTATCCTATTTTGTACAATCAAAATAGTAAATACAAGAGAAGAAAAACAAGATACAAACGAATCGAAGCTGATGGGGTGAGTGAGATTGTTGGAGTAGGTAAAAGAATCATGGGGGTATCCGGGTCATGTGAGTAGAGGGGGGCGGATCGCGGTGGCTGACGAAGCGTAAAGAAAGTGAATGCGTGGGTTTAATGCGAGCCAGGCGTTTGGGTTTGTTCAACGTTTAAATTTGTAACAAGGTTAAAAATAAAACAATGGCTGGTTGAAAAATATACAGTTCGCATGGTGTGGGTTTTCACCATATGTAAAAGTATAGTAAAATAGCCAACACACATAGTTGTTTTACATAAATTTCGTCACATAGTAGATACAATAGTAGATACAAGAGAAAACGAAAACAACACAAACAAATCAAAGCTGATGTTGGGGTGGGTGGGGGCGTGGTAAGATCGTTGGGGGGGGGGGGGAAGGGGTAACCGAACAGGTTGTTGTGTTAGCGATTGAGCGGGAGGGGGTAAAGTGTGGTGCTTCAGGGTCGATGTGCATAGTCGTAGCTAAGATTATTTGACTGCTTAGTGTCGACATGTTTTGGGTGGGTAGGTGTGAAGCTATAATAATGTGTGGGGATACAGTGGAGTTTTTAAAAATTGGTTTTTCAGTGTTCTCATGAAAGAATTTGAATAGTTTCGTACATGTAAATAAAGGTAAACAAAACCATTTTAAGGATGACTTTCAGGAAATTCAACTCCATGTGAAAAGAGGTGGGGACTAGGAGGGGGGATAGACGGATGGGGTCATGGGGTCATGTAGGCTGTGGACCAATGGACAGTAGATATAAATTACTATTAAATTAGTGTTAAAACATCATTACAATGTTTGTTTGAATGTTATGTAAATAAAACCGATTAAAAAAGGATTGGGCACGAGGGTTGTAGGGGTGGTGTCATGGGGCCAAAACATCAGAAAGGTGAGGGATTTTTGAGATACCAGAGGCGGTGATGCGTATCTAAGGTGTTGTAATCAAGAAACTCGGAAGCTGAGAGTTAAATATAAATCGATTGGACAGTGGGTCTGGTGTACACATGTCACTGAAATGCACATTTAAATCATCAGCCATGGCATTGAATATTTAAAATACATTTAAATAGACCTAGATTAAGTAACTTGATATTTTAATGGCGAAGCATCCTAATGTATTTCGTTGAGTTTGTAAATTTTACAAAACAATAGCTAACTAACGAAACAAATACTATACATCTTAACTTTATATGACGAAGGTGCATTTACTGCACATGCAGTATATTAATAGGTGAACAAATTAACATAGCGTGTTTTTATTGTTATCGGGAAAAAAGCTAAGTGTCTTGATCCGTTGATTTCAGAAGTGTTTATTTGATAAACGATATAAAGATTACTTAGATATTTTAGGAAGGTTAACATATATTATAAAATAAAGATAGTGGTTATGTATCGAACCTTAAAGAATAGTGTAATGCAGTCAGCAGGATATTTACCATTGTCATTTCTTCCTCTACCGGTTTTATAAACAGGTTTATTCCACACCCTCCCGCCTGTACTCACCTGATTTATATTAACCCCATTACACAACATACCTATAGAGATACAAACAAGATACGTTGTAAGATTTAGATTTAGGACTATTGAGCTTATCAAAAGAAGGAAAAGTACATAAGTAATATATATTGTAAGGGAGATGGGTCTACTAACTGCGAGCGTGTTACAACGGCAGGCAATGTATGGAGATTAATGAAAAGGAGGGATTTCTAGAAAAGCCATAAGTACATTGAATATAAATAGTATTTCTTGTAAGGGAATATATTTTTAAGTTGCAATGTAATCAGGCAATAGATAATGTAATATTTCCATTCTCAATAGACGTCTTTTGTTTTAATGATGGGATAGATACAGGAACTATTAAAATAAGTTTATTCAATAATTTCTTTTTACAAAGAAAGTTTTCAAGAAGTGTGTGTATTATTGTAATAATGTGTTTTGGAAAATTGTTCATATTGTTTATAGATTTTCGTTACGTTTTTTAATCAATATGTATAATTATCATATAGTATAGAGGGATTAATACTTACAATATTTCAAACACAATGCAATATCTAAATATTTCTAATTTTTTGTTTAATACAGGGTTATAATGAACTCAGATTTGACATGAAGTATAAAGGTAAAGACTACTACGCTGTGTACAGAGGTTTTAAGGTACAAAATGAAGCAGCAAAGTATAGGATGAACTACCCGTCATTCAGTGGTGGGAATGTTGAAGACAAGTTTAGTTATCACAACGGCATGAAGTTTACAACCATTGACTCTGATAACGATGAGTGGTCAGGAAGAAACTGTGCTGTAGACGACAGTGGAGGTGGTTGGTGGTATAGGTTTTGTCACTGGGTTAACGTCAACGGTGAATGGGCGAGTCGTGTTCGTGAGAGAGGAATTAATTGGTATACAATTACAGGCTTTACTGACTCTCTAGACTTTGTTGAGATGAAACTTCGTCGATTGTAAACAACCCGAAAACAATGCTATGGTAAAATAATGGATATACAGTAATCAAATTATTTATATAATCTTCAGGAACATAAACATTTCATATATTAAAATACATAGATGTAAACATTTAAATATGGCCATATTTTCTTGATGGTGATTATACATAAGTAGTTTAAAATTAACGAACATTAAACCAAACATTCTTTTAAAAAATGGTTTTAAAAACTACAACAGAGTTTGTTTTGCTATTATGATGTAATAAAGCCATGTATACACTCACCTATAATTGAAATTCCTCATAGATTGACTGTGTGTGTGTTAGCCATTAAAACAGGGAAAAAAAACTGACATATTCATAACTAGACTAGTAATGTAGTTGTCATCTACCACTATATCTTTAATTAGACATTCACTCGGATCGTGTGTAGTTCAACTCTAATAACGTGTGTAATGTTTGCGCAATTTTTTCAATTATATTTTTTCGCATGGTTTTTCGAAAGATATATATGCCATCTAAAATCACATAAAGTAGATAGTAACTTGTAATTTGGGATCTGTAAAGCTTTGTATTATAAATGTGAACATTAAGCGGTCATATAGTAGAATAAAAATAGATTATTTAAGTTAATCATAGGTTTAAGTAGTTAATATTGGTTCCATGACAAATGATCTCAGGACAAATGATCGCAGACAAAATATCTCAGACAAAATATCTCACGGACAAATGATCTCAGGACAAATGATCTCAAGATAAATGATCCCAAGGACAATTGATCTCACGGACAAAAGATACCAGGACAAAATATATCAGGACAAATATACCATGGACAAATGATCTCAGACAAAATATCTCAGAAAAATATCTCACAGCATAATTTTAATAGTGTGTATGATGATTTTTGTTGACTTGAACTGTTTATTGACTGTCAATATGGTTTTGTTTACTTTTTTACGCATTATAATTGTGAATAAAGAGAATTTGTTAAACTTAACAAAGCTTCAAAAATGTATTAAACTATTAAACTTAATATTTCTAATAGCATTTGATTTGAAAAAGTTAAAATTAAAACAAACTTACTCCTGAAAGGTATAATAAATGATATTGTATTAAAAAATAAAGTAACCGTAGCTATACAAAATTTATGTTAAAAACACTCGAAAAATTTTCGAAAATGTAAATGGGTCTTTAGGTTCGTAAAGTAAAACTATTGTTTTTATTGCATCATCAACACAAACGAAGCACTTACGTTTCTTTGCTGGCAGGTACATCGTTATGATTACACCTCTCCAATACAATGTGATAATGTATTGTGTGAACTCTTGCTCGACATGTTCTAACTTCACATTTCCAAATCACTTTGCCTGCTGCTCCACTTATGGCTTTTTAAAACATAAATCACCAGAAACTGATGGCCTATAACCTTTCTGCGAGGTAACGAAAGAGGCCATAGCTGATTAATCACAACTAATACTTCTTTGTTTGCATGCACACTCCGACAAACTTAGCTCCGCGATGACCGCTGTCGTTTAAATAAGCATTTGTCACCTTATCACTAAAGTGTGACCGACGCATAACTATTGACTTTAGATGTTAGTTGTATTGTCAATGGAGGGTGGATGTCTTTCCCTTATGGCATGTCTCTGCCATCAAAGCGGGCTGCCACCTTGACACGAAGGTGTGTCTTTATTGTTATTTCATTCCCTTTGATCTAGTTTCGTCCACCTGACAGTCAATAAAATGACAGTCAATAAAAAAAAATGTTCAGATCAATTAAAATCACCAAATACACTATTAAAATTTAGGTTTGAGATATTTTGTCTGAGATATTTTGTCTGAGATCAATTGTCCATGGTATCATTTGTCCTGATATATTTTGTCCTGGTATCTTTTGTCCGTGAGATCATTTGTCCTGAGATCATTTGTCTTGAGATCATTAGTCTGTGAGATATTTTGTCTGAGATATTTTGTCTGAGATCATTTGCCCTAGGATAATTTGTCCTGTCACCTTAATATTTTATCTAGTGTATCTCATATCGAGCATGTTTGTGTATTAAGAAATCTCTACTATCACATATAAGTTGGCCTACATATAAGTACAAAATAAAAGTTTAATTCTGAATATGTTTGTATTACTGAGATTGGAATATTCTGTTATTATCGTTTTCAAGGTATATAACCATACTCTCACAAATCAAGTGGGTAATTTTAATTGTTATCTCCCGTGAACAATTTAGTGTTGTTTGTGTTTCATACCATAGGCTAGAGAAATTTCCAATCACCTAATTTTATAATTGTATTTGTTTAGTATGTTTACATAGACACAATTAATGGAAAGCAATTATATGCATTTAAATACATCTTTATTATAACGTCCACTTAATTTTTATATCAAGCCTCCCTTTGTGTAGATTAAGGAATTTTGTTTGGTTTATATATTTACAAATACATCCGTTTATACAACTTATGGTCAGGGGCGGAACTATAGTGCCGCCAGACCCCGCAATGCGGGGTGGCCCATGCCATTTAGGGGCCCAGAGCCGACCATTAATTATAGTTTAAAAAAAGTAAATTTTCTTTCATTTTTTACTTAATGGTTGTTTTGTAAAAAATTACCGTAGCTGCGGTTGGATTATCTTTATTCTATAGACACCACCCCACGCTCTTGTGTATTCTTTTTCCCTTTGTTTTTAAACCACTATGAAAGCCGAGTCTTTCTCCTACAATTGAAGTTATCAAAGATAAGCAAATGTTCAAACCATTCCATGACTTATTTCCCTTTTTTTTAAATAGTCAAATAGGGGTGATCATAAGCTCCTTTTAATAGATTTGTACTAAACAAATTAGAAAGCAATTCTTTCTCTTAATTATAATTTTTTTATAAAGTAATTACTAAAGAATGACATTGTATAAAAAGGAAATGTATTAAATCAATAATATTAAAAAAAATTAATAATATAAATACAAAAAAAAACCATAAAAATAAACATAACACGAGACACCATTACTTTATACAAAGCTTTCATGTTTTATACTATTTTACTGACTATTTATAAATGTTCGATATTATTAGAATAAATAAATAAATATATATATATATATATATATATATATATATATATATATATATATATATATATATATATATATATATATAACATATATATCATATATAGGCCTCCTAAATATATCTATATATGGGGCACTAAAAAAATTTTGCGGGGTGGCCCTTTTTTTCTTGTTCCGCCACTGCTTATGGTTAATGTGTTATTTCATTTGTTTTGTTTTTGTTTCTTTTTTAAACACATAATAAAATTTTGTGGATTATCAAACATATAATAACCGTCGTTATTTTTTAATGTGATCAAGGCAATAAGGACCAAGGCTAATTGTAGTGCGTAAATGAGTCCACACAGCTACGATGGTACTTTACTCACGTAAATGAGTCCACACAGCTACGATGGTACTTTACTCACGTAATTGAGTCCACACAGCTACGATGGTACTTTACTCACGTAAATGAGTCTACACAGCTACGATAGTACTTTACTCACGAAAAGGAGTCCACACAGCTACGATGGTACTTTACTCACGTAAATGAGTCCACACAGCTACGATGGTACTTTATTCACGTAAATGAGTCCACACAGCTACGATGGTACTTTACTCACGTAAATGAGTCCACACAACTACGATCGTACTTTACTCACGTTGTGGAACATTGACTACGTTTTTCATACTTATGTCGAGATTACAGAAACATGAAAACTCTATATGATTGTACTGATTTTAATTTGTCATTAACTCTACTTCAGCTTCACTGTAATTGTACTGATATTAATTTGTGATCCTAGGATAAATCAATAACTTTATTAACTTAATGTTTCCATTTCTATCAGCATTTTGTCATACACGATACAACTGCTGATGTGGTCTGTAAATCCTGTAAGCTTGTCAGTTCCTCTAACGTGAATGTTTTCAATACAGGTCAGACCTTCCGACACCAGACCACTGCTGACAAGATTTTACCTTAATGTTTTTTTTTTGGTATTAGCTTGAGTATTAGCTTTATTTTTTTTTTATCTCTGGTCCTAGCTACTAGTTGATTTTACCTTAATGTTATTTTTTGTATTAGCTCGAGTATTAGCTTTATTTTTTTTTTTATCTCTGGTCCTAGCTACTAGTTGATTTTACCTTAATGTTATTTTTGGTATTAGCTCGAGTATTAGCTTTATTTTTTTATCTCTGGTCCTAGCTACTAGTTGATTTTACCTTAATGTTTTTTTTGGTATTAGCTTGAGTATTAGCTTTATTTTTTTTTTATCTCTGGTCCTAGCTACTAGTTGATTTTACCTTAATGTTATTTTTTGTATTAGCTCGAGTATTAGCTTTATTTTTTTTTTATCTCTGGTCCTAGCTACTAGTTGATTTTACCTTAATGTTATTTTTGGTATTAGCTCGAGTATTAGCTTTATTTTTTTATCTCTGGTCCTAGCTACTAGTTGATTTTACCTTAATGTTATTTTTGGTATTAGCTCGAGTATTAGCTTTATTTTTTTTTATCTCTGGTCCTAGCTACTAGTTGATTTTACCTTAATGTTATTTTTGGTATTAGCTCGAGTATTAGCTTTATTTTTTTTTATCTCTGGTCCTAGCTAAAAGTTGATTTTAGCATCGTGCTTTATTAATTTTCAGAATTCCCGTTAACAAGTTAGATGGTGTATAATGAGCTTAAAACGGTAATGCTCGTGTGTTAGAAATGAGAGATTAGCTTGTATTGTGAAGGCCTGTGTATGTGTGTGTTCCCAGAGTACTGCTGCCATCAAAGACATTTGCAGGCTGGCACGGTAGGGGGAGCGTGACTGGGCAAAATGGCATACGAAGGTTCTATACGGCGTACAGACAAGGTGAGGCTACTGGAGAAATAGTTGTGGCACAGCCTAAATGTAAACCTCAAGGCGATAGCTTCCTGGTCTAAATCTGACGAATCTACCCGTTTTAATTTAGTTATGAAAGATATACATATTTACAAATAAACACACACACACACACACACACATATATATATATATATATATATATATATATATATATATATATATATATATATATATATATATATATGTTTGTGTGTATGTGTGTGTATAATACTAGCGTTCTAGTTCCCCTTAGATCTGAGAAAGATGTCGATGCAGTTTGACCTTCGCCAACCTGTGCAGAACGCCAAATTAATTAACCTCTGTTTCTTCAATATCCGCTGGAGAACTCTAGGCATTAAATCTTACACTTGCAGGCTCGATGTATAGAAAGATATACTAAACATACATTTAAATGTAAACATATTCACACGGCGTTTTTTTTCTTCAGTTTTTAATATTCTTCCGCATTTAGGGCAAGGTTGTTGTTTTTTTTTTTTTACAAATAATGCCACCATTATGTGTATTCGCTTGAAGATAAGGAAATTAACAGAAAAAAATCTTAAATCTGCATTCTGTGTAAGCTGTTAGTTAACTATATTGTTCGATTTATGTTGTTGCCTGCGTAATCAATATCATTTTTTTCATAGTTTTAAATGTCGGAAATACATTTTTAAATTATCTTTAAGAGTTAATTTCAGGTGTTCTATAATTTATGAGATTTTTCTGAACGACACAACATATTTATAATTTTTGAAATTGTAATTCACTAAATTTTAAATGCATACATAAGAAGCGAACATACAGTATAATCGCACATCGTCTTTTTCCTTTTGTGTAATATTACTAAAGTATCAACGCCTAGTGGCTTCGCTAGGTCGGGTGTCACCAGGTGCGGTACCTTATGGTGTCAACCCTCCACCCGAACATCCGAAATAGCTTATAGCTACATTGCTAATCTGCAAGAGAGCATTAAGTATAAACCCGTTTATTGTTAGAAAAATGTTATGTTAGGGTGTTCCCTTTCAATCCAGTGTGTAATATAAATTAAATAACCTGCATTCTTGTGTAATTAAAGCAATAGGATTTATAGTCTTAATTAGACTGAGCTTTACTTACAACACATTGTGTATCCTGTCTAATCCCTGTTTTGATTAAGAACAACAGACGTAAATATCTTTCTGGCAAATACAATAAGTATACCTGATTAAACTTATTCACAAGCAAATAGAAAACACAAGCGCAAATGCAAATACCGCAATCTTGCACCTACGCACTCAGACACACTTGCACTCAAACACAAATACAAACCAGTGATAGCTTTATCATTCGCTCACAAAAATCTAATCTATACTTTGCCCTAAATTCAACAGTATATCACAATAACGTCATAATTACCTTACATTAACGTAACAAAATCATCATAATTACTTTACAATAATATCATCACAACCTCACAATAACATCATTAGTATATCATAATAACCTCACCATTACCTTACAATTAGCTTACAATCGTCACCATTACCTCACTATTACATTATCCTTACTACATCATAACTGTTAGGTACACATCAGAGGTAGTTATATTCTCAACCGCCAAACCACATATTATCTCACAACCTCATTAGTACCTGCCTATTATCTCACAACCTCATTAGTACCTGCCTATTAATATCACAACCTCATTAGTACCTGCCTATTAATATCACAACCTCATTAGTACCTGCCTATTAATATCACAACCTCATTAGTACCTGCCTATTAATATCACAACCTCATTAGTACCTGCCTATTATCTTACAACCTCATTAGTTGCTGCTTATTATCTCACAACCTCATTTTACTGATACAGACACGTACAATATACTGTGTAAAATGTACTTTTTCTAAAACAAACGAAGTAGAGTTTTGCTGTGTGTGTGTGTGAGACAAAGAAAGTGGCTGTGTGTGTGGGTGCACGTGTTTGTGTATGTGTGAGAGAGTGGCTGTGTGTGTGGGTGCACGTGTGCGTGTGTGTGTTTGAAAGAGAGAGAGAGAGAGTTTGTGGAGTATTGAGAAGGTGCTAGTAATTCGAAACAGGTATTAAACAAATACAATTTTCCTACATAAAGGGCGTCATTTGGGTATTACCGGGAACAGTAACGCCCCCTTAACGACGACTATATTATATATATATATATATATATATATATATATATATGTTATCGGAAATCGCTCGAAAGTTGATACGGATCTACGATTTTGATAAAATACTTATATATAAAATACTCAAGTAATCGTGTTTACACACAGACAGGCAGACACACACAGACAGGCAGACACACAGACATACGGACAAGATTGCAGAATTATGTTTTTCCGTATCAGTGAGGTGTAAAACGTCGAGATTCGTAAAAATCTCGATTTTTTTTTTTGCACGATTACAAGACTTTAGAAGAATTTAAAATCGAACCAACCAATGCCTCTACGTCATAATGGGCGTGAAAAGTGTATGCAATCTTTTGAAATTTTTAAAAAAACATTTTTTAAAATACGGCAAGTGATACAATTATAGTTACTTTAACAAAAAAATAAATAATTGAAGGCGTTTGAAACAATCGATTTTACTCATTTTCGCATTGAAAATAAACCTTTGAAAATAATGTTATAATCATGTTATCAATTCAAATATTTTTTGAAACCGCCTTTAACTCCTCCTTGAAGTCATCCTAAGTCGCCAAGGCAAGTAAAATACTTAAAATCCCAACAATTGTTTGCCATGATAAAGTACACAATAGCGATCAATGGGGTATGGCGTAGCAGTTTATTTATATTAAACTAGCGTGCCCGTTCACGCGCGTTGACGCGGTCTCCAAAGAGAATCTGACGTAATATTTTAAGGTTTCATAAATGCGTTACCAATCGTATATTCTTAGACGTGTGAACTTTTTTTTCTAACTCTGAGTTATTTAAATGTTAAAAATTCCTGTGCTATATTTCTTTGATGATATTTTCCGGAACACGGATTTGCCCTCACTACCGCCTTACACACGACATGGCGTGCTGTATTAAAGGCTTGAGTATACGTTAATCACTATCCGTAATAGTGAGGTTGAACACACTTCGGTGTAGCAGTTTTACAGCTGAATATAGTAGTACCCATTCCCCACTATGCAGGATGCCCGATTAACGGATACCAAGTGCTAAGACAGCCGCTCTGGAACTCTGGGCGCCAAACCGTATATTGAAAAATCAATAAGAAGTTTGAATTTTCTATTCGCAGCAACCTTCTCGGGAGTATTCTCATCAACTCCTCGAAGTTTCAAGGCACTCAGAGAAACGGTGTTAAGAATACAAGATACACACGATTTTAGATAAAAGTGACAATCTATATATTTAATTCTCTTCTGGGAGACGCTAGAAAACAAGCTGTAAGCGCGCTCCCTACCACCCCCACCCCTACATGATCTGGTGAGCTGTTGTTCACGCTAAATGTTTACAAGCAGAGCCGGGTTTAGTGACGACTATTAGGGGCAGATAATTCAGTTTGAAACTATTTTAAACGTATGGGGGGAGGGGGTGGGGGGTAACTAAGTGGAGTTTACTTTAACAGAGGGGGGGGGAGGTGGGGGGTTATCGTCCTTAACGAGCTACTTATAGTGTTTTAAAGAAATATTTTCAGCGGCAGCGTTGGTACTGTCGAATTCACAAATTATGAATTACTGAAAAGTAGAAAAAACAACAACTAAATAGCGGCGTATGTTATGCCGCGGATCGGCTCGTTTGCTATTAAAAGATTTATTTCCTTAATTCGGTACTAACATCTTTTAGCTATCTAACCCAAACATTTTTCAATTTTCTGTTTTAAAGCAAAATGTATTTATTTCCCTTTAGTTTCTGTCACAAAATTAAGAAGTATAATTACTTAAAGTAATATCTTGTTTGCTAATAAAAATGGATTTTTTGTGTATTCTTTTCATACATAATTCAAACGATATTTGACATTATGATGTTTATTTTTTTTAATCTATATTTTGTTATGACTAAATGCTGTAAATTTATATTATTATGTCTGTTGATGAGCGACTCAACAACAGTGTCGTTAAGAATAGTGTAGGATCGACTGTATTATGTTATGTTGTGTGTATTTTAGTCGTGTCAGGAAAGGACGATTAACAAGGTTGAAAATGTCACAATCTGGTACTTTGGATTTATATATAAGAGATGGCTGGAAGAAACTATGATCGCCTCATCGTTTTTTTTTTCTCCTAACTTATATATTAGGCTAAATGCCATTTTCCATGTTATTGCTGTTTTTTTTTTCTTTCTCTAATTTATTTTATTACCTTCAAATACTGTTTTGGCAAATAACACCTTTCAACGTATGAGCTATAATGCTCGAGGATGATTTATAAAATCGGGAATTTTACTTGTTTCTATTTATAGTACATGCCAAACCGGAAAGAGTTTTACGTGTACTTGCCATTAACGCTTTCTTGAAAAATGATTTCGGTTTTCCCGATAAAGATATAATTTCTCATTTCTAATGTACCCAAACTTTGCAGGTTGGAAGCATTGATTTTTCTTTGCTGTAGGCCTATCTCTAAACATTTTAAGCAACTCATTCGATTGGGGTGCAGGAATCTGTTTTTATACGAAGGTAAAAGTAAATAAACACACAATCACATAACATTACATGAGTTTGATATTAATTATAGTTGCTATATGACAAATAAATGTGTGAATATCTATTATTTAAAACTCTCTGAGCTTAAGATAGTCATTGATTTGTAATTGGTTTAGCTTCATGTCTGAATAGCATTAGAAATCGGGATATTGTTAAACTTCATTTATATAAATAAATTACTGTTCTAATAATATATTAATATTTTTGTTGTTTTTTCTTCGATTTTTTTTTAAAAACATAAATTTAGATGAAAAGATTTAGCCAATATTTCTTTAGGAACGAATCTCAAATAGTATTAATAATAATAACTTTTAAATTGTCCAGTTTTAAATATGATCTATTGAAAATTTCACACAATAATTTACAAGTCAAATTATTGGCATTACGTGCGGCAGAAATAAACACTGTAACAGCTGATGTTAAACGTAAGAAAGACACGGTTGTACTTATTTTACTACAGTTAGTTGTGTTTTCATGGACATCCATACATTTTTACATTAATAGATTATACAATACTATTTCTTTCTGTTCTAAATCCATGTCTCGTTATTTTCTAGGAGTATACAACGTAATGTTCTCAGTCCTCCAAGCCGTCGAGAGGTGTAGCGAAGGGGTGGGGGGGGGGGGGGGCTACATATGTCCCGGGCATCGACCATAGGGTCGCCAAAATAGGTCGGGAAAAAAAATTGAAAGTTTATTTTCCTGCTTCCTGCAGTTTTGAATTATAAATATAAAAAATATACAGGGGCGGGGGTGCCAAATTGAAAGTTCGTCCCCGGGCGCCGGGTGGGGTCGTTACGCCTCTGAAGCCGTCATGGTACCAACAATTGCTGCCATAATCTGTTATTACCCTTTAATTCCATTTCGCCAAGTATTTATTAATATAGAAATGTAAAGAAAAACAAAACATCAAAACCTTCCTGTGCACATTTTTAAAGTAGAATTATAACATTCGGGTTCCGGGGAAGCTATATATATATATAATTTATATATATATATATATATAGGGCCTATGTATATAATATATATATATATATATATATATATATATATGTGTGTGTGTGTGTGTGTGTGTGTGTGTGTGTGTGTGTCTTTGTGTGACTGCGTTATGTGTGTACAACAGATGTTCCTAGCTTTTTTAGGAAAAGTATTCTGGTTCATAGATTAGTAAGAAATCGGGTATTTCCGTTTCTTTCGAACGTTAAATATTACGTTAGTTGTTTTCTTAATAGTTCACAATAACTGTGCGTGGCTTGGTGGGTGGCTAGGTTTGTTGTTGATTCCTGTAAAAAAAATTTTTTTTTTTGCCAATGACAATTGTATTTTAAGTTAAATTCTTCCCGAAAGATCTAATAAATTCAAATGTTACCATATTTTGATTAAACGAGTTGAAGGAACAAGTTTTTTGTCAGTCACCACAAGAACCTGCACAGCTCGAGGAAGCACAAAAGAAAAATGTATTTTCTACTTTTTAGTCCACAAGAAAAACGTGGTTTTTTAAAAAGTTTTTTTAAGTATTTTATTTTCTTCTTCTTTGTTCCACATAATAATATTGGACGGGATTTCCCCAACACTCAAGTATTACGTGTCAACATGTTATACGACATATGGCCCCTTTTCTTTTTGAATTTCCATAGCCTTTGTCCAAGCCAGAACAAACAACAAGGCAAAAGTTGTTTGATTTTGGAGTTTCCTCTCCTATGTGGGTTGTTAACCCCAGCTATCGAGCCTCATCTGTCAGGGTTTCGAACTCAAGACTACTCTGTTTAGTAAACATGAGATCCACCAGCCATATCACGTCGATCCTTCATTAAGTTTTAAAATCTATTTTTTTAAATTAATATGGGGTGTCGACAAAGATTAAATATTATTTATTTAACTTTAAAATATTTTTTTTTATTTGTAGATATACAATGGGAGCGGTACCGTCTACCAATCGAAATTTTCTTCTAATGGGCAAGACTGGTGTTGGTAAAAGTTCCACAGGAAACACCTTACTTGAAGGTGCAGAGTTCAAAGAAAGTGATAATTTCTTTGCTTGTACAAAAAAAGTAAAGAGAGTCGGCATAAAATATAAGAATTTGCATTTTGATGTTGTTGATACTCCAGGACTTACGGATACATGCATTAATGTCGTAGACGACATTAAATTCACTCGCGACAATATGAAAGAGGCGATGGTGTGGTGCAAAGATGGTTTCCATGCTTTGTTACTTGTTGTGAGTTTCTTAGTTGGCTTTAGTGAAGAAGATAGAAAGACAGTAAATGTCTTAAAAGATATATTTGGAAGTCAATTTTTGAAAAATAATTGCATCGTCATAATGACACATGGCGATATTTTTCACACAAACGTAGGGGCTAATATTGATTTTATGAACTGGTGTAAAACACAGTCTGGTGATTTTGCTGATTTGTTTAGAGAATGTAATTACCGTGTTGTTTTATGCAACAACAAGGGTACAATTAAGCAGAAGCAAGAAACGATAGAAAAACTTCTGACCCTGCAACGTCAATTATATATCTATACTTCGTACGAATTTGGAAAATTTCAACAACAAAGAGATAAGATTGTATTGAACTATTTTCTAAAAGAACTTAAAGAGAAGTTACGGCGCAGGATCTTAACCATAGGGGAGGACTTGAATCTGATGAAAGACGCTGTCAACGTTTTGAAAGATGATGCCGGGCAAGTCATTTCTGCATTTGATGGCTTAGTTCACAACCATAACTCCCCTGTGTTGCTTCAAGAAATCAATCTAAATTTAACTGCCTTACCTAAGCCTGTAAGTTCTGCTAGCTTGGAAATAAACCCAACAGCTAATGTCTTACAACTAACTGAAAAGGTTACCGCGACATTTAAGAAATATTTGGAAAAAGAGCCCAAATGTTCGAAACAATCGGAGCCTTACAAGGAGATGAATCAAATCCTTAACAGCAGTTTAATGAAAAGTCTGAGATTATTCGGCAACCGCATGGAGAAGTTGGAATCCCCATCTGTTGTCATTGAAGACATGAGCAATCAGATTGAAAACTTGATCTTTGTAATAGTAAAAGAAGCACACGGCACCAGATTATTAGACGATGTCAAGAGCGAGGCGGAAGATCTCCAGAAAGAGATAGAGGAGTTTAAAGTCAATCGAACCCTACATTTCCCTGACTAGAGAGATGTTGAGATGGTCATACAGAGGTGCCCTATACTAGCGTCTGTGTAGACGAAAGATTCCAAGCGTGCTGCAACAGATCGTCAGAAGAATAATATTGGTTAAGGCATTAGTGAAGATCTAAACTGCATGCTTGCCATTTGTTTTTAGAAAAATAATTAATAAATCAAAGCGCAAAGAAAGAATGGAAAATTAAAATACATATGAAAGAGAGAACTTGCGAACTCCAATCTACACACCTTTCCCCTCAGAAAGGGTGTCTATTTCAATAGCCGAAAAAAAATTAAATGACTATAAATCTAAAATTACAATTTATACGCAATAAACATTTTTCATTGTTATATCTTCAACATTAATTTGTTTGGTTTTGTATTAAAACTTCGCTTGATAAGGCACCATTTAATATAAAGCTAGTGTTAAAAAAAACATTTTTTTTCTTGTGAATTTGAATATGGTTTTATCGACCGGAAAGGTTTTTTTGAATATGCATTTATACTATGCGACTTAGTCAAATTATTAGAGGCATTGTCTTAATCATATAATTTTTACATTCTTTTTAAAATGTTTTTATATGAAAACCCAATTTGCTATTCTTTTAAAATTGTGTTCTTACATTCTCATTGTATATACTTTTAATCTGTTCATACAATTAAAATAATGTATCGAAGATCCTTGGCTTTTGTTGACTTGCTTGGTTTTATTAACTTTTTAATTCATTACTTAAATGACTATACTTAAAAAATTGTTGGAGACTACTGTGCAGGTAAAAGAGTATAGAATTGCCGCTATAATGAATCACGTGCGCCCTCATCCTGTAAAGCAGAAGAACGTAAGCGGCTCTATATATTCACAGTCTCCTATTGGATTCTCAACAAAAGTGCTGAATGAGAACAAAATCAAAAACGTCATTCTATAACAACATTAGTGAGAGTCTCAGTAAGTCTGTTGTTGAGAACAGTGTTGGATCGGCTGCTAGCTACAATCAACACCTACATACACCAAACTTTGTTAGGACGGTAATCAAACAATGAACGCCATACACTGTGATAAACAACGTCGTTGGCATCAGAAATAAATGAAACTATTGACGGCGTATGTTTTGGTATATTTTATATTCTATCAGTGTTACAATTGTTGAATATCAAGATCCACTCTTACACGTTTCTTATGGTCTAGAATAAAATTACCATTAGGAATCTGGTCGAAGTAAAGTAGAGGGGTGACCACTTTCAAAGTTAATCTTACGCCCCACCCCCCTCCCCAACCCCACCGGAACAAAAAGAGAAAAATTATATATAAAATATATACTTTGAACAGAGGAAAAAAATTTGAAAGACACACTCAATATTGTCAAATATTTGTCAAAGATTCCAAGATACAGTGCAATAAAGGATCCGGAAATCGCAATCGTAAGACTGCAACGATAGCAAGAAAAGACACAATAAAACTTTCAAATTTTGTTCATTACCATGAGCACTAAACAGCTAATTAGATTTTCTTCAGTCGGGCTTGTCGATTTCATCAACGTAGTCTCTGAATATGAATGAGTTGAGAATCAGCACCGTTTCCAGATAATTTACACTCGACCGTCTGGGGTTGGAAACTGATTATTGCTGAGTCGACTCGGGGTCGTACTAAGCACTCGCTTACTGGGATATATATATATATATATATATATATATATATATATATATATATATATATATATATATATACATATATATATATATATATATATATATATATATATATATATATATTTAAAATTTATATATAGTCTACATATATAGCCCATATATATATAGCATATATATATAGCATATATATATATATATATATATTTATTTATTTTTATATATATATATATATATATATATATATATATATATATATATATATATATATATATATATATATATATATATATATATATATATATATATATATTTATACATATTTATTTATATATATATTTATATATATATATATATATCTAATAAATATATATATATATATATACATATATATATATATACATATATATATACATATATATATATATACATATATATATATATATATATATATATATATATATATATATATATATAATTTATTTATACACATATATATATATATATATATAAATTTATGTATGCATATATATATATATATATATATATATATATATATATATATATATATATATATATATATATATATATATATATATATATATATATATATATATAAATTTATTTATTTATTTTAATATATATATATATATATATATATATATATATATATATATATATATATATATATATATATATATATATATATATATATATATATATATATATATATATTTATTTATACACATTCAGTGAGAGGGAGATAGATCGAGGGGTATATATATTACTAGGCAAATACATAGTATAAAGTGGCTTCGCTAGGTCCGGTGTCACCCCCCCCCACCTATTTTTTTCTCCGTAAATTTTGTAGTTGTGTCGCCCCCCCCCCCCCCACCCCGTTAATACTAATGATGTTTATCGATAGCTGGATGTAGTATGGTTTGCATCTTTACGTCATGGTGTTACCATCGTCCCCTCCCTTGTCGGGATCGTAATTATGTACTTATACTTTTTAACTCTAATTAACAAAAACGTATTTATTCTATATATCTTGCTTTTTTTTGTCTTGGTGTCACCGCATCCCCCCCTCCCCCGGCTCGCGAAGCCTCTGAGAGTATGTATGCTAATTTTTAAAACAGCACTTTATTCTCTAATGTCTTTCTTTTTTAATTACCTATTTTAAATTTTATTTCTCTATTTATTTATTGTTTATTTTTTAAAATTGATTTTGTAAGCTTTTTCAATGTTTTAGCTTGTAACAGCTTTTAAAGTTTCATTGTCGGTTCCTATGTCAGATATATAGGCATAAAAGTAATATCGGGAATTTCACTTTTCTTTTTATAGTTCAGATGCTAAACTAACGCAGATTGCGTTTTGTGAAAACCTCTTTGTTCTTGAAAATTAAAAACAATTTTCCCGATTACGTAGTTTATCCTATTTTATATTCACTCGTTTTGTTAGGCTGGAAGCATTTTTTAAATTAGTTATTCGTCTAGAGATGCTCAACAAGTTGTTTAGCTAGAGCCTACCCCTTTGTGTGCATTTAAAATTAAAAGGTAAGGGTAAATTTAATTTTAAATAAAGCATCGACCTACATAATAGTTTAATAAGCGTATCGCTATAATAATTACGTGTTGATATTAAAATAGATATATGTATTTACACTTGTATTTTGCTTGTGATTATGTATGTATGTCTTGACTGACAGAGTTTCTTCCAGGCACCTCTTCGGGGAGGGGAGGGGGGGCGGAGAAAGTCTATCCCCCCCCTCCCCTCAGTGTCCGCTCCTCTTGGAAATGTTGTCCTCCCCTCCTCCCAATTAATATATCAACCTCTCATCCCCCCAACCTCCTCGCCCAGGAGAAAAAAAGTCTGGAAGAAACACTGCTCACTGATTTTGTGTGCGTTTTTTTTTCGTTTGTGTGTGTATGTGAGAGATAGAGAGAGAGAGAGAGGGAGAGAGAGAGAAAGAGAGAGAGAGAGAGAGAGAGAGAGAGAGAGAGAGAGAGAAGGTAAAACAGATGTTCGTTTAATTTTAGGAAAAGTATTCAACATCTGAATAAATCGGGAATTCCTGTTACATTACATCAGTGATATATATTCAGTGGCGGAACATCCTTGTCGAAAATCCCCAAATCTATGGAGGCGATGTAGGGCCGGGGGGGGGTGATATTACAAATCGTTGACAGTGAATTATTGACATGTATCTATCACTGGTAAACATGTGTGTGATTCAGAGTTTTTGTGTAGCATTTGTAGTGAAATTTAAAAGCTACTTTCCATCAAATTAATTTAGGCCACATTATTGTTAGATAAGCACACGCTAACTGAAAACTCAGATTATCTAAGCTTTTGTTTCTAGAAGAGTAGCCTACTTATCTCTGGTGCATGTTGTTACACATTCCTGATAGTGTATAGTTCTTCTCATTTACAAAGGAAAAATTCACTATCAGCAAGTTGCGGTAACTAGACCATTGTTGACTTGTAGAGTATTGTTCGTTGCAGATGATATTGTAAAAGACTGTTAAAACAAAACAATTATATTTCACGATAGATCAGAGGGGTAGCGACCCTTCCCGGCGCCCAGGGACAAACTTTTGATTTGCATCAACCCCCTCAAACTTTCGATTTGCACCCCCCTCAAGCTTTAGATTGCTTTTTCCAACCCATTTTGGCGCCCCTTAAGGTCGGCGCCCGGGGACATATGTCCCTCCCTGAACCCCCCCCCCCCCCCCCCCCCATCGCTACGCCTCTGCGATAGATTACTCATGTAAGAGATAGGCCCTACATTTGAATTATTTGTTGAGTTCTCTTTATATGCAGTGTTCTGCGTGTAACAAATATTACATTTTTAAAAATCAAAGTAAAGATATTTTATATTTTCAGTATTTCAAAATCGTTATTTTTTGTTCTTTTGATTTGTAGATTCACAATGGGAAACTCACAATCTAGCAGACGTAAATTTCTTCTAATGGGGAAGACGGGCGCGGGTAAAAGCTCTACAGCAAACACCTTGCTTCAAAAAGAAGTCTTCAAACAAAGCACAAATGCGCATGCGTGTACTAAAACAGTGGAGCTGCATAGTTTGCAATATAAAGAAATGTTTTTTGATGTTGTTGATACTCCAGGACTAATGGACACTGAGCTTGATGAAGTAGATAACACTAAATTCACTCGAGGCAACATGATTGAGGCTATGAAAATATGTGAAAGAGGTTTCCATGCGTTGTTACTGATTGTGAGTTTCTTAGATGGTTTTAAGGCCGAAGATAAAATGACGGTAAAAGTCCTTAAAGAAATATTTGGGCGTAATATTTTAAAAAACAATTGCATCGTCGTAATGACGCATGGCGATCTTTTTCACAGAAACGTAGGGGCTGATATTGATTTTATGAACTGGTGTAAAACGCAGTCTGGTGCTTTTGCTGATTTGTTTAGAGAATGTAATTACCGTGTCGTTTTATGCAACAACAAGGGTACAACTAAGCAGAAGCAAGAAACAATAGAAACAATTCTAATTCTGCAACGTCAACTCTATATGTATACATCAAGTGAATTTGGAAAGTTCTCTCTAGTTCGACAAAGAGATCGGGTTTTGTTAAACTTTTTTCTTGACAAGCTTAAGAAAAAACTGAGGCACAGGATATCGATATTACAAGGGGACTTAAATCTGATGAAAGATTCGGCTAAAGTCTTGAAAGATGATACTGAAAAAGTCATTTCTGCATTTGGAATTTTAACTCATAATAATAACCTGAATTTAACTAACCTACCAGTGAACGGAAATTCAGCCGATTCGGAAATAAACCCAACAGCAAATTTCTTACAACTTACTGAAAAAGTAACCTCGACATTTCAGAAATATTTGGAAAAAGAGCCCAAATGTTCGAAACAATCGGAGCAATACATGGAGATGAATCAAATCCTCAACAGTCCTTTACAGAGCGGCCTGAGGATTCTTGGGATCCACATGGAGAAGCTGAAATCCCCGGCAAACGTAATTGAAGACATGAACTTCCAAATCCATTACTGGATCTCAGTGATAGCTGAAGAAGCGCACGGGACCAGATTATTAGATGATGTCATGACCGAGGCGGAAGATCTTAAGAAAGAGGTAGAAAAATTTCAAGTAAATCGAGCCCTACATTTCTTCGCCTATTGAAATGTAGAGAAGCTTCAGATGGCGCTGTTTGTGTTCTATAACAGCTTGAATGTGTATAGAGAAGCAATTCAAGTTCGGCTACCACAGTACACCCATTATATCATCAATCACTGACTCTTTGACAATGGCATTTGTCAGAAGCTAAATTGTATAAAACTATTTTTTTTTAATAAAATTCTTTTTGAATTAAATAATGAAAGTTGGAAGTGAAAAATTAATTTAAACAATAACTATGCCTATCAAAGACAAAACCTAGAAAACTTGAAAATATTTTGTCCACGCATGGATGTACATCATTTTGCTTACACGAAAATCATTCTGAATATCTTTCAATCTATAGATGTACGTTTACTTGTCAATTTCAATGGGGTTTTTTTCTTTCAGTATTGTTTTAAAAATTCACTATGACTTTGATTGTAGATTTTAAAAAGTCGACAGGGATGAGTTTTTTTATTTTTAAAAATATATTTGACTGTATTTTGTTTTAAAGTCGAATTAACAAAAGCACGGTGTTTGTCATATCAATTTTTACTAGTCTATGTTATAAAATGTACACAGTAATCGAAACCAATTTGATTTTTTTAAATAATTGGTAACTTGCATTTTTATTTTTATTAGTTCATATTATTAAAATATTGTACCGAATATGTTTGTTTTGGTATTGATTTTTAAATTAATTTATACAGTCACTTAATACTTAAAATCTGGTTGGAAACCCATGTGCATATACAAATTTAGATCTAGGTCTTGGCTTTCATTCCGCAAAGCATAAAAAAAGAAATTCGTTACTTTCTAATAACTTTCAATAAAACAACTAAATTGAAATGAAAACGGTTTAAACGGTGTCTCTAATGAAACATTAATTGATCCCATACATAATTTTTTAAAATTAAGAACATCGTCATCCTAACAGAAATGAATCAGTGAAGTGCTGAGTTTCTTCCGGGCATCAATTCAGGAGGGTGGGGGGCGCTCACCGAAAATATCAAGTTGCCCCGCCCCACCGCACACTCACCCCCGGAGAAAAAAGTCTGGATGAAACACTGGTGAAGTGAGGTAATAATGCCTTAAAACTTAAAGTCGCATTATTTCATTAATTCTACTAATGGCTGATTTCCGGATAAACACCGAAGTTTTTTGTAGTTATAGTAGGCCTACAAGACAGTTGAAATAGTCCGAACTATTTGTCATACAGTCATACATATAGTACAATCACCACTTAAATAAATATAGTCCTACAATAATAATAAGGAAAAGAAACAATCGTAATAAGCCTACAACAAATTGTGTTCAGATCAACTAATGGTTGGTAGATCATCAAGATTCAAGTCCCGAGTTCAAACTCGGGCAGATGAAGCTTGATAGCTGGTGACATCAACCAGAGGCATAGCGACCCTTCCCGGCGCCTGGGGACAAACTTTTCGATTTGCAACCCCGCCCCCCCCCCCCCCCTCAAGATTTCGATTTGCAACCCCCTCCCCTCCTCAAACTTTCAATTTGCACCTCCTCAACCTTTCAATTTATTTTTCCAACCCATTTTGGCGCCCCCTAAGGTCGGCGCCCGGGGACATATGTCCCGTCCCCCCCCCCCCTCGCTACGCTACTGACATCAACCCATCTAGGAGAAAAGACTCCAACATCTAGTGTCTGCTGCCTTGCAGTTTGTTCTTGGACAAAGGCAACTGGAAGCAAACCCAGAAAGCAGAGCAGGTTGAAATCGGAGTCAACTGGCCATTTGTCGTAAAACACGTTGATACGTACGCTAATAATTAATTGTGTTGAAGGAAATTGCGTCCATCATTACAATTAAGAGAGACGAAGAAAAACGATCTACTACTACTACTTGGCCTAATGAATGTTTCGGCAGCCGAACGAGTCAAAGGCACGCACCTGAACTCTGGGGTTTAGAGTCAGGAACATATTTAAATAGAATCGTCTCAGTATCGAGCTACCAATTAAATTCTACATTTGTATCTGACTCGGTCCAGGGTCATCAACAGAGATGTTTTGCGTCTTTTTAAAAAGAAAATTCAACTTATTATAACATTTAGACAATTCATGTAACTTATTCAAATAATCCATAAATTACATCAAAGATAAACCTCTTATTGGAAGAAATATAATAAACAATTATTTATTATAAAATGCGAAATTGTCTTTTTAATTCAATATTTACTCGAGAATCAATGACGTCATATTACTGTGTGTAATATCCAGCTTGAAACTATTTTCTACTAAATGCTCAATGTGACGTCACGTTTCATTTTTCAAATTACTATGCACCTTTTTACTCTGCTTGTGTTTTCTCTAAAGCGTTCTTGACAAATAGATAGATAGACAGATAGATAGATACACAAATAGACAGACAGCGAAACTATTATTATAGACGAGATAAATGACCCGTTGAGGAAGGATACAACGGGCGCTAGGTTGATAGTCTCTTTTCTCTAAACCAAAACCAAAATCACCTCCTTAACTTCAAATTGAACCGGAAACGAAAAATGACACTGAAAACAGATGTTTATACAAAATCGGCATTTTAATCGGATTTAAGCTTTTTCTACACATTGATACTAAATATAGTCGTAGCCATACCCCTAAACCGTGAACCTAATCTCAATCATGACAAAATTCGCATTTAGAGTTTCTTTCAGGAAACTATACTTGGGGGAAAGGGGGCTCCACCCTCCCCACACAAACACCCCAAAGCTCGTCTACCGTCCCATTCAACGAAATATAATTATATACTCTTTCCTGTGTCCGCCCCCTCCCAGAAAATTTAGTCTACTCCCGCCCCCAAAAATTTCAAGTACTCCCCCCACTCCCGGGAGGAAAAAGTTTGAAAGAAACACTGGTCGCATTTGCAGATCATAGAAACTAAAGGTAGAGCCTGGGAGGGGCTTTTCCCCTACCCGAATAAATGCATGAAAGAAACCTTGCACACATAACACTTTTAAAATTAGAACATTCAAATTACCCCCCTCCTGTGGAGGAAAAAGTCTGATAGAAACACTGATCGCACTTCCGATGGTGGGGGGGGGGGAGGAGGTGCTGCTTAGCACCTACCAGAAGAGATGCATGAAAGAAACTTCACACAAACCATTTTAAGATTAGACACACTAATTAGGCCGTAACGTCAGTCTTTTTTTAATTGAGTATCGATGACGTCATTTCTTATGAGGGGGGGGGGGCTGCTTAGACGTTCTACCGGGGGTGGGGCTTCGCCCCTACCCGAAGAGATGCATGAAAGCGACTTTTTTCACGCAAAACACTTTTCAGATTAGACATATTAATTAGGCCTTAATGTCAGTGTTTTTTTTTATACATTATCGATGACGTCATTTCTTTTAAGGGGGGGGGGGCTTCGCCCGTACCCGAAGATATACATGAAAGAAACTCTACACCCAAACCACTTTTAAGATCAGACAACGTTGGCTTTTTAATTCAATGTTTACTCCAGAATCAATGACGTCATATTATTGTGTGCACTCTCCCGGCTTTCGACTATTTCCTACTATATGCTCCATGTGACGTCACGTTTCGTTTTTCGAATTACTATTCCTGTTTTTACTTTGCTTATGTTTTCTCTATAGCGTTCCAGACAGATGAAGTGGATACATTTTAATAATAGTAGGGTCGAATTAATTAATTAATTAATTAAAGTGTTTTGTAATTTTGCCAAGGGAGGTAATTTAAAAACAAATTCATCTCACGCTAACAAAAAAAATGTAAATGCAAAATCTCCAAGAGAGAATTATTTTTTAAATAATATAACTTGCAAAATGTGAATGCAAATCTGCAGAGGACATTATTGTAAGAGGACATTATTGTTGGAATATTATAATTAACATGGATTGATAAAAGGCTTTTATTTATTTTATTCACTAAACGTCCTTTTTTATATTTATAATTTTTAATCAACTAGTTATAGAATCAACACAGTTATAGAATCGTCAACAAGTTCATTAGGTGCGCAATGGTTTTAGTCATGAAACTCTATTGTAATTTTTTAAAATTTAAATACTGAAAAAAATGTTCCGCCACGGTAAATCTTTTTTAAATGTGCCAACTTGGGGACAGAACAAAACTAAACACAACACAAACGAATGCAAAAAAAACACAAACGAAAAAATAAACACAACACTCATAACATAACACAATTTAAATGCAATCATAAAAGCATATTGCTCACAGTCTAGCCCGTAGCGCCAAATCGCGCCCTTTCCGAGCGCCGGCGGACGCGTCTGACACAGTGAATGACTACAAAACAAAGGCGTAGCGACTCTTTCCGGCGCCCGGGGACAAACTTTCGATTTGACCCCCTTAAACTTACGAATTACACCCCCTCCCCTCAAAATTTCAATTTCCACCCCACCCCCTTAAACTTTTGATTTGCACCCCCTCAGACTTTCGATTTGCATCACTTTTGATTTGAAATTCCCCCCGCTCAAACATTTGATTTGCACCCCCCTCAAACTTTTGATTTACACCCCCCTCCGCGCCCTAAAACTTTCGATTTCCACCCCTCCACCCCCCGCAAAGTTTTTCCAACCCACTTTGGCGCCCCCCAAGGTCAGCACCCGGAGACATATGCCCCCCCCCCCTCGCCACGCCTCACTTATAAAACCCCCAGCTTGTCCGCAAACAGAAAAATAGAATAATAATAAATAATATACAATAAATAATAGGCAGTATATAAAATATCCGTGTTTTACCTACTATATATCCCTTTATCAATTCACGCATTTTTTCCAGTACTTTAAATTTTAAAAATTTACAAAAGAGTTTCATAATTAAAACCATTGCGCACCCAATGAACGTGATAGCGCGTCTATAATAGTGCGAAATAAGTTGATTAAAAATTATAAGTAGTAAACAGTACATTCAGTGAATAAAATAAATAAAAGATTGCCTTTTATCAATCCATGCTAATTATAATTTTCTAACAATAATTTCCTCTTCCACATCCGCACAATTTGCATTCACATTTAGCTAATTATATTATTGCAACACTAATTCACGTCCGTAGATTTGCATTCACATTTTTTTTATTATCATGAGTTTAATTTATTTTTAAACTACCTCCGTTGTCAAAATTAGAAAATAGAG